AAAAAGTTTTATGAACATCTTTTAAATGCACAACTTCTTTAGTACAACAAAAAAATATGCACAGTGTTACAATTAAAACATTTTTGTCTTCTTTCAGTTTTTTTCACAAATTGCAGCTGCAGAGAGTGCTCACCCGACTTTCATAGACTTGCCTCTGAAAAGCAGATCTTTATACTGTTGGCTGCACACTGCATCACAGAAAAAGAAAATTAACCAAAGAGCTGAAACACCTTTATTAGTGTGACCATGAAAAAGGAATAGGAGGAAAGGATGCAACTTGATTCACCCTGTACGGCATATTTTTAATCTGCTTAAACTGAAGTCAAATAAGGTTGCTTATCTTTATATTGTTGATGATGTTCACGAGAATTCATAAAATGAAAAGAAAACAAATGATTCAAGTTATTCAGAGCAGAAACAGAGTCACAATTTAAATTCACTCAGTTCCTTCAGAGGCACATTCTTCTTTGCAGAAAAAAGGTTTTTAACCACGTGTGCAGCTTGTGAACTGTAGAGTAGCATGTGTGTATTTGTGTGCACATTAATGAACGATTGCATGTATCTGTGTGTGCTAGTGTGTGTGTGTGTGTTTTGGGTGGGGGCTGTATAAATCGCCTCCCCACCCTGAAGGGAGTAGTGCTTCCTCTCCAGGGTTCAAAAATAACCAACAGCTTTATTGTTCAAGAAAACCTGTTTGCTGCCTCTGCCTGGCCCTCTATATATCTCTAACACACACACATGCACACACAAACACACACTTCTGTCTTTGTACAGATCTAAAGAACTGACAAGTAGAGTCTCGGTTACACCCTGGCTCTGAGGAAAGGATGAAGAAAGAGGGAGAGAAAAGACAGCGAGAGGGAGCAGGGGGTGAAGGGAGGGGTCTGTGGACACTCGATGTGCTGACAGGACAGCAGCGATCACACCCAAACTGTGGCGCCTGACCTACTACAACAAACAGAAACACCCTTACACACACGCACGCACGCACACATGGACACACACCAGTGGTGTAACATCATCCTTCCCAGTTTTCCAGTGAGGATGTGTTTTCTCTGCTCAGCCTGTGACTCAGCAGGACGACAACAATCCAACTCTTATCATTTCTACACTTACTGAAGAAACATTATCTGAGTTTTTTCCATTTATTCAGCTTTATTAGGTTTATATTCCCACAACTTAGATTTGAAAAGAAAATGCAAAGAATTATTTATCTGAATAAGTGTGTTTTGAACTATATAGATGTCAATTTCAGTCCCGGATTGTTGTAAATTAAAGTAAAAACAAAACAAATTGCACTGCAAAAATTTTGAAGAAACATTATTACTAAGTTTGCTTCATGAAGTGTGGGTTCTTAGATTATCTCCTCACACAAACTTGCATTTACAACAAATAATTTTCACATATTTTCACTTTGTCACTCATGAATTGATAAAAATGGTGTTGAGACTCTTTGTCTTATCGTAATAACCTTGTTTAATATGGTTATTAGTACAGTTTGAATATTTTACATTTGTACATATGTGTGCTAATATTATGTAAAATGTATGTATTTAACAAATGGGGTCATAACCCTTTGTCATTAAAACTTTGTTGGTCGGAAACCAAAACATTTGTAAAATCTCTGTGGCAAACCACTTATTTAAAAAGACAAGACTCATTTCACAAGTAAGTTCTTATCTTTTTTTTTCTTTTTGCATTTAGAAAATACCTGAAGAACAGGTCTGAAGACTGAACTGTTCACCTTCCGTTTGCTTGATGAGCTCCTCTTAAGTTGACTTCATGTCATCAGTCTTGATGTGGAACATAAACGATCATAAAAAAATTCTAAGTGGTAAAAACCAAAACCCACAGCCTGTAGTGCAAAGAATGAAACCTCAGTGTCTTATGTAAGATTTCAAAATCTTGCTTTTAATTTACCAATGAACTTGTTAGCAGTATTTTTGTACAAGCAATTTATCTTCCTTTTTTTTTGTCTTTTCTTGTTTTATGTAAGTTTTGGATATTAAGAATCTTTAACATCTAAACAGTTTTGTTTGAATCACTGATGTTGAAGGGATGAAACCAAATGTCTTAAAGAACCTGATTCATTTTTTTTTTTTGTGCAGCATGTTTGGTTTATTGGTGGTGGTGGTGGGGGCTCGTACGGGCAATAACTCCAATAACTCTTGGATTATGTGTTGTGAACGACTTCCAGCTGCCACCACATCAATCTTTAGCTCCATATTTCTTGCCTCAAGAGGCTGCTGCTGATGAAACCGAAAGCAAAGAGAACAGAGGTCAAAGGTCACGTCTCAGCTGGTCCACTTTAATCAGCAGCTGACTTTGCAGCCGCCATCAGAGCGAATTATCCAGGTGCTGCAGAGCCTTATCAGGTTTTAGTGCCGCAGCAGAGTTTTATGATCTGTTTCCGATGCTGTTTGACCTCCTGTTTGTCTCTATCTGATAAGAAGCTGCCGTCGGGCTTTGAACCTGACTTCCTTTAATCTTTCTCAACTAGAATTACAGACGATAGAAGCAGCTTTTTGATGCTGCGTGAAAACAAACTGCAAAATTACCTGCAGGGGAACTAAATACTATAAAAAAAACTGCGATAAAACAATCAGAGGGTAATCTCACTGAGATGTTTTTGTAGTTTTTGCAGTTTTTTTTCCTGTGCACATTTACCTTCACTTTAAAAAGCAATTTCTTGTGGAGATTAATCATTATCAGAGTAATTTAAATTAGTAATAATAAAGAGCTTTTAGTGGATTTACCTTAATAAAGTGGAATTATTAGGTTTTTGTAATGAATAGCCTGAGGTGACTAGCTGCCAACACCTAATCATGTCAGATTTGCCGGAGTGGCAGCTTAATTACATCAATGGGTCAAAACCAAAGAGGAAAACTATAAAAACGCAGTGAGATTGTATTTTGTGCTACTCAAAATAAAACTTTATCGTTCCACCAGATGATTCCGCTCAGCTGTTTTAATTACAAGGACGCGGGTTTGCAAAATCCAGAGCTTCTTTTAGTTAAATATCAGAGCTGCAGGATCAGGAGGAACTGAGTGTTGGAGAGGAAACTGATGCCAAGACAAAGAAAACTGAAGTGGAAGCAGCGAGACAAACCCTGGCAGCCTGCGAGCACCGTCACCTCACTGTTTACACACAGCTGAGGCAGCACTTCAGGCAGCAGGCCATCCTGAGCCTTCTCAGCTGCCTCAGCCACAGGTTTAGGAGGCTCAAACACACACAACCTGTTAGTGAACCTGGCTGAAGGGTGGGGCCGCAGGTGGAGCAGATCAGCGCCACCATTTCAGGAAGGCGTGCGTCCGCCCTCTGGTACACAACCCGACTCTTTGTTGCTGCTTGCTGGAAAATCACCACTCAGCTGGATTGTTTGTTTTAGAACCTGATTCTCCCCATCACTGTCGGACCTGACTGACTGCATTAATTTCAACTTTGATGTTAATAAAGCGACGCTGCGGCTGATGAAAAATGTCAAAGCCTCGCACGGCAGGTCAAAGGTCGGGTGGAGAGCGGCTCATAACAGCTGTGAGTCAGTGTTTTTATTTCCTGCTGACGTGATTTCACAACAGCAGGTACATAAAGAGGGTGGAGTAGAGGTAGTAATAAAAATGCCTCGTGCTACACTTTAAACATGATGAACCTTTAAGCAACTGATGAAGTCATTGTTGGACAACAAAGAGCACAAGCTTCATATTACAAATAATGTTCCTAAGTCAGAACTTAATTGCAAAGTTTCTTAATTCAAACGCAGATCTTTTGCAATCTGTGAGCGCCCAGAATGTAAGAGATCAACATTAGATTATAGCACACAAATTTAGTTTAAGGTCCGTAAAATTGACTGAATTAGTCTTTTAGTTTTTTTAAGGTCAGTTGGTTGTAAGTTGTGTCCTATTGAGTTAAGAAAAAAAAAAATCAAACAAAGACTGAAACAGGACCAGAGTTCCATCATCCTCCAGCTGACGATTTTCAGCAAATTGTTTTGTGTTCACCTTGTTGGAGCTAAACTACTATAATTTATTTAAAAAGGTTATTTGCTATGCATCGACACATAACAGCTTCACACTTTGATTGCAAAAGATTTTTTTTAAATGCCTGAATAGGGATGTTACAATTCACTCAAGCTCCAATTCAATTATCAATTTTACAATTAGTTTTTTCGCAACAAAATGAATTTTAGCCATTTTATAACTAAATACGTTTCTTTCAACATCAGCATTTTGGTCCTTGCATCAAACTGTAACTGTTGTCTTACAGTACAATAGTATTTGCTATTGTACACAGCTCAAAATAAATACAAATGTCATTATAAATCCTTTTATGGCCGAATGTTTTCAAGTTTCAAACTGAATTTTTCTGAAAGACATAACTTGCTGTTATGCAATAACAATAAAATTAATTCAATTTTGTGTATTGATTTATATTTTAAGCAATTATTCTCAATTATTAATCAGTTCTCAGGTACTGGACTGCAAACTGGTGACCAAAAAAAGGCCAAAGTCTAAAAATTATTCTGATCAAGAATAATTTAAACGATTATGACTCTTTGGAAGAAAAACAAACAAAAAAATTAAGTGCTGACTGAAGACTTTTACAGTTCTTTGACCTAGATATCGAGTCAGTCTAATCGAGACCACAATCACTTGTAGAAAAAAGAAGCTTCTGTGGACTAATTATTGTCAACCAACATTTTTTTTAGTAAACACTAATAAATTCAGAGGCTGCTCTGTGGTTCTGTTGTATAAATCCAACTAGAGAACAAGCTTACCAACAGCCCAAACTTGTCTGAGCATGACTCCTCTTCAACCTCAAGAGCAGTTCCTGAAAACAGCAACGTGTGTGTTTGTGGGTTTTCAATACGTTGAAAAGCCTCCATCAGGCCCACGACATTCAGAGTGACTGACATGTTAGGACAGGCGCCAATCTTAAGACGGTTTTCATGTCAGCCCTGCAGTTCTTGATGCCAGCAGATTAAAAACACCGACTCCAGATGTGCTGAAAGTATATGAACTGTATTTGAAGGTACAGACTGAAAAACAAACGAATAAAACAGAAAAAAGATGTGCAAAAAAAGGAAACACGAGTAAAAGCAAAGTACGTTTCCGTACAGTGTGTTGAAATCAGTGAGGTGCACGCACACACGGTAACATTCACACGGAGCTGCTGCTCAGCCGTGAGGACTTCAGTGTTGAATACAGCGAAGGAGTTAAAGGTTACAGATTGTCTCGACAGCACAGGTTTCACACCTGAGTCTCGTTTGCAGTAACTGAAGAGGAGCCGATCCGGACTTCCCCTGGCCGGGAAAGGCAGAGCCATTGTTTCGGGGCCGTTCCACCTCCACAGATGAATCGATGATGTGTATGTGAAAGGTGAAAAACAGGATGTGAAATGAACTGGATATATTGTGTTGCACTTCCTGTAAAGCTGCTGGAGCTAAATGAAGTTCAGATGTACAGGGCCAGGAAGTAAAACTACAAATGCAGAGGAAGAATCAAAAAATAGAGGAGAAAGCCTCCCCACCTCCCCTCCTGCTCCTGACCCGGCTCCTCCATGTCAGCACCAGTTCAAGAACCAGCATCATTTAGCTCAAGTCGGATTCTACCTTTGGAAAACATTCACGCAAAAACATTACATCATTGTTTGACACTTTTTTGTTGTTTTTCTTTGGGAACGACTCGTTTTTTTGTGTGTTGGGACTTCTGTAACGATGACTTTCGTCACGTTTCAGAGTACTGTGAATTGGACTCTTTGTTCTTCCAGCTTAAATACAAAAATATTCTTTGGCCGTTTTAGACTTGTTGCATTGGACTCTGAGGAAGGCGTCTGTAAAACACAGGTGCAGGTCTGTTTTTACAGGCCAGGGGCAGTGCTAACTCTGAGGGCAGTTTGTTTAATGTTGGAGAGAGAAGATTCTTTCTACTTTAACCAACTTGCTGCTTTATTTCACGCTTTTCGACCAGACAACTCCTCCACTCTATTCTTACAAAAACCCAACATTTTGGAGCCTTTTAGCATCTTTCTCTCAGTCCTTTCACTGCTGCTCCTCCAGGAGTCACCACCACCTGACAGACAATGTAGTTCTGAATGCTTTGAAAGCGAAGGAGGCACAGAGTCTACTGTCCTGTGGGGACTGTCCTGACTTTCAGCGGGTCAGGGGAGTGTTTGCCCATCGAGCTGTATTCCCAGGCTGGTGAGGACGTTCTGGAGGCGTGCGATGGTGCTCACCAGCTGCTGCTTCTCCTCCTCCAGAGCAGAGACCTGCTCCTTCAGCTGGCCCTCCGACTGGCTCAAAGCCTCCACTCGACTCTCCAGGCTGCAGACTCGAGCGTGGGACACCTGAGCGGTAACGACGAGAGAAAACAACCGTTAGTGTGACGCACAGGTCGACGCCACGTCTCCACGTGTGTGTTTATGAACCTGCAGCTCCTCCAGCAGGTCCAGGTTCTGCTGCCGGAGGCTCTGATTGGTCCGCTCCAGCTGCGCGGCTCTCTGCTGCTGGTTGAGGGTTGGAGGGGTGTCCAGGAGCTCGTCCTGCAGCACGTGGTACTCCACCTCGTAGGCCTGCAGCTGCTTGGACACGTCCATCTCACAAACCTAAAGAGCACGTTGGAAATACTCAGAGAGCGAACAAACCAGAGCTGTCAGGCTGTAAAGAGGTCAGCACCTGAGTCAGGCTGAAAAACAAACTATTGTTGAGAGAAATCCTTTCAGCAGGGAGGTGGCTGTCAGCTGACAGCGCAGCTGTCAATCACAAATAATGAAAGGCTTTTCTTTTTAATGCGCTCACGACTTTAATATAATAAGACTAAGATTTGTTTTTACCTCCGTTTGTCAGTGATGTAAACACTTTAAGATTAAATGGTTCAAAGCTTGATTGACAGACGTAGCGTGACGAGATCAAAACAACTTCAAAACAAGACTTGATTGGAATCTTTTTGTTTTTCTTTTAAGCCAAAACTCATATCAAGTTAATGATTGCTAATTTTTATTAGCCTCATAAGGAAGTGTTTGACTCTCGCTCTGCAGAAATCCAACCCTCTGCAGGTCATCATCTTGTTTCTTCACATTCAGTGGTTTGGAGGAAGTTCATAGAGGAAAAACTAATATCACTTGTTGGTTGTGAGATGTAAAAAAAACATGCATGTATAAAAAACATGCATGTATATGGAAGTAAATATGTGTACAAATAATGACACTGAAATTTTTTAAAAATTGAATTCAGATGCATTTTTTATTCTAATTCTGATGGCACATATTTACTTCCATACATGTACAAATACACACCCAGTAGGCAGAAAGTGCAATGTCATATTAAACCCATCAACAAAACAACTTCCTCTGAGGTCATGTTGGGTTTGTTTTACATAGCTGTTGTAAAACAACCAAAAGAAAATAGTTTTGTTTCTTTGACTTGTCAGGCTTCTGTGATAACATTGCTGTTGTTAAGCTCCACTCGCACCATTATACGTCAGCTGGTTGTCTGACAATTTCTGTCCATTCCAGTAATAAATGTGACCCAAGCTGGTAAAATGAGCCACAGAGGAATTTTTCCAACATTGAGTTATTATTTTTTTCATATTCTCTCAAAAGCTTTAAAATGATAGTTTATTAAAATTTAGTGATTAATCAACAGGTCCAACAGTACAAGAGTACCGCTTAGAAAACTTGATTTGTTTAGTTTAGAATGATATCATCAGTTCTGGCTCTATATTAAAAAAGGAACACTTAAGCTTCACAATGATAAATATTATACGAAGGGATATCCTGGCGCTTTTAGGAGATGGAAAAAAAAGATGCATTTCAAAGAAAATTATTGGAGTTATTAAAAAAAAAGAATTATTTCTGAGGATAAAACTTAACAGATTTATATAAAAACTGTCTTTCATGTTTATGCAAATAGTTGCACCAAAAGCCTTTTTGTTTGTTTGTTTTTGCTGCAGCCTGGGCTGATTCTGACTAATTCTGTCAGGAACTTTTACAATGCAAACCAACGGACAACATAAATAGACATTCTTCATAAAGTAACATAAAATCAATAAAAAAAACATGGTTTTCAGAAGTAAAATCACATCACAGTAAACATAAAAACAATGTGACAAAGAAAACAGACTCAGGCTGGGAAAGCTTTGGTAATAAACCAGCTAAGCTAGTCACTAAATTGATTTACCGTATGTCCAATCAACAAACAGGCACGTTCTAATAAATCCACATTTAAATAGGAACTGTGACTTTTGTTACTGGAATCATTAAACAGATGATTAAAGTCATTAAATCTAAGTGACTTGGCTCACACACCCGGCAGCTGCTCAGAACGGCTGGAAAGACCAGATGTGTCTCACGTTGATGTTCGCATCCATCACTCAAAACTGATGCTGAGCTGAAACCTGTTTAATAGTTTCTGAGCTGCTTTGAGTGACAGCGAGGCGCTCAGGCACGAGCACAAAACAAGTATTTGCATTCTGAAATGACGTGAGCCAAAGCACAGGAGATCACGTGGCCACTGAGCTTCCAAACCTAACTAAATATATTTAATGGCTTCAAAACGGACAGTGCTGACAGGTGATGCCGCATTACCATGGAAAATCTACAGATACCATTTTATATTTTCTTTGAGAATTGAGCAACTCACACAAAAAGACTAAATAAAAAAAACAATTACTAATTGGTACTTTTTAACAAAAAGCAACCAGCCATGATGATACTTGAGCAAACTTTCAAATACAACTTTTTCTGTTTAGTCCAGGGTACATTTTTTAAATTTATCTGCAATATTTTGCTTCACATTACACTTCCCAACAGTTAGTTTGTCAACAGAGATAATACTGTATTAAATAAATACATTGTATAACAATCTGTTAATCTACTAGTGTTTGAAAATTTTAAGTAGTAAAAATGTTTTAAATCTGACGGTGACAACAATCATGGCGGAAAAATGGAACGGTTCACTGAATGAGATCAGACAAAGTTATTTCTGTGAGGTTGGGTTCAGTGTTTCCTGCGATAAAGAAAAGTGCTCCTCCTGTCCTCCTTGTTCCTAATCAGGGTCAGGGTGGGGCTGGAACCTGTCCTCGCTGCCTTTGGGTGAAGGCAGGGGACACCTGGACAGGTCTCCAGTTCACCAGAGGGACACAAAAGAGACAATCAACCATCCACACTGTGTCACATCTAGAGTCACACAGAAGAGCTCCAGAAGATTTCAAACTGACAACTCTGGACTCAGATCATCTGCTGCACACAGTTCTGATCA